ATTATTTTTACTGAAAACATGGATATGCAAAACAACCATAGAATGTCATTGAACAGTAAATAATTCAGACAGACTTTTATGAATCAATTTGAAATTTTCCAGAGGTGTTGTCCCATAGTTGGCCATTGTTTCCTGAGAGTTTCAAAACCAAGGACTTTATTAAACGAAAAAAACTGCATCGACGACTATTACGAATTTGTCAAGTCTCTGAGTCTGTATAATTTCAGCAAATGAAGTCACCTTTTGAACAATGAAGAATCATAAGTTGGGCTATAATTTCATGCTGAACGATTGATAATTACTCATACAGTATCCTAAAACCAAATTATAAACCAGTAAACCTATTGTTTTATTATTTTTCTGCGCAACGGAGCAATCGTTTTCATTAGTCAAGATCTCACTGAAAAAAAAACCGTTTCGGACGATCCGAAGTTAATAGGAAAAAATAAAACCTAGCTAGCGTCATCGAGTCACTCAGTATTACGACTGAAATTGCTAAGAATTCTATCAAAAACTGCACTAGATAATTAAATGCGTGACTATCTCTAATAGCTGTCTTATAGAGCCTTAAAAGTATAATCTTTCTATAACATAATAAAAGTCGTATCCTTAAATACCATTATTCGCTATAAAAACTGACGATTTCAGATTGATACATCAAACTCTTGCTGAGTTATTGACTGTTCAATGGCATTCTATGGTTGTTTTGCATATCTATGTTTTCAGTAAAAATGGTACAATTCTTCAATAGCTTGATGAACTTCGATAAAGCTTGTATCAGAAATAGCTATAATGTAGAACTACAAAATAAAGGAATGGGTGACTCAAAAGATTTATCTGTTCTCGAGTTACGAAATTCACAGTGATCTCGAACGCCACCTATCATAACTTCGATCTAGCTTGAAAGATTTTTGGCACTGATGTTATCGCTGACCTACATTATTTGTGAACTACCTTCAGAACAATTTTCATACATTTAGCTCTCCTAGGAACTAAGATTTGACGAGGGAACATATCCAACTGTCGGACACCGTTCGAGCCCATGACGTGTTTCTGGCGAGATATCAAGGTTTTAGTGAATTTTCTCTGTGGCACCTCACTTTTGCAGCAAAGCTATACTTTCGAATTTTGACTTGAAACTTTGCTCACATAAAGGCCTCCGCTAGACTAACTTGCATAAAAAATTTCAGAAGTTTTGAACAAAGTCTTTTCGAGATACCAAGTTTTCAAAAAATGTATGCTATATATACTATCTATGAAAAAGGGTCTGCGTCTTGATAGTTCGGTGTCTCGGAGAGACTTCGTTCAAAACTTCTGAAATTTTTTATGCAAGCTAGTCTAGCTGAGGCCTTTATGTAGGCAAAGTTTCAAGTCAAAATTCGAAAGTATAGCTTTGCTGCAAAAGTGAGGTGCCACAGAGAAAATTCACCAAAAACTTGATATCTCGCCAGAAACATGCCATGGACACGAACCCTTTTTGGATTGTCTTAGTCTCACTGAACCCTACTAGTAGCCAAAATATGGGCTCGAACGGCGTCCGACCGTTGGATATGTTCCCTCGTGAATGGAGGAGGGGAAATACTTTTGGCCAGTAGTGTATATACAAGTTACGAACACATATACTAGCTGTAAGTCAATCATCCTATGCAAAATTTACTATTACTATTTCTATGAACAATCAAAGTTGGATTAGTTTGACATTTGCAACAAAAAAAAGTTCATATGAACTACTGATCTCTATTTAAGTTTTATTTCTGTATACATCATTGTAAATTTTTTGTGATCGTATTCTCATCTTTGTAAAGACAGAAAATGAAAATAAATAACACACACAACAAATAACTATCAACTATGTCCTGTATAAAAACGAAAGATATCTGTATACTATTATAATTTTTTTCAAGCTTCGAGTCTGTCACATTGGAAAAACATTATTAAAAGGCATTAAGTCAGTATTCTTTAGGACTGAAAACAATTCTTTTTCACAAATACATCTATAACTTGCTCATAAAATTGTTTCAAAAACAATAAAAATACATAGAAAGTGCTCTAGAATGAAATCAAAACAAAAAAAGCATTCAACAAATTAATATGACTTACTGCAAAGTTGGCATAAAATAAAGACGATGTAATAGTTAATATTTATTGTTAAATTGCTATTCGAACAAAATCATATGAATCAAAAAAACGTCTATTTAACGTGTAGACACAAAAAGTAACAAACCATGAGGTTGGAATAACTAAAAATGCTACTCTTGTTAGAATCATAGCAGTTAGTGGTTCAACTAATCTCTATCGAACTTCTCGTACTTAATGTCTTATGATGTGATCGAGATTTTGATAAGAAAACATAAAACTAGTTTTAGATTGAATATCAGCAAACATAAAACTTGGAAGCGTATAAAATACAAATGATTGTATAATCATTATTTTTCACTTCACACTAAAAGACAGATATCTTCGTAAGATTTGATGTGAAAGCTTAATTGATAATACAGAGTGACAATATAATAATTAGTAAAATAATATCACATATTGATTACATTGAAATGGTTTTCAATGAGAAAAATTATAAAAGAATATTTTAAAGAGTTCTAATGACTCCAAAAAACAAGAAAAACTAAATTATTATGTATTGTAAACTGCTGAGAAATTGTTTCCACATGAATTGCACTAATGATAATGACGTAGTATAACCTATTTTTAATAATCTTTTAACTATTTACATGTCTAAGTAACTATGAAAAGTATATTATAGATCGTTTTAAGTTTGTAGTAAATCATAGTGTCTTATTTATAATCCAATTTTTCCTACAGCTATTACAAAGGACGGACCATAAACAACACTACGATAAAAAATGAAATATCTCCGCTTTGGTTCAATCAAATGAGCTTAGATTTTGATTTGTGGTAGGAGTTCATTCAAAGTTTTTTTCTCATATCTACGATTAAGCATTATTGTGAGTATCATGAAAGCAATTTTATTTGTTAACAAGTAAGAAATACACATATGTAGGGTTTCATAGATAATTTTCAGTTACTATCAAAGAGAATAATAAGAAGACATCAAAATCACCTTTTTGAATGATACGATATTGATCCACATAGAGTAAATATTCAGAACTAATTAGTTTAAGAGTCAACGATTACAAAATTTCGAATTTTCAAAATAGAGAACACTGGTTTTTGTAAGAAAATCGATGTTTTGGTGTCCAAATGACTGCCATTGTGCATTTTACATATGAGGAACGAATTTCAACATTTAAATTGACTAGTTTCGAAAAACTACTCTATGCGCATCGATATAATATCGTTCATAAAGTTCGTTTTCTTCGATGAGAATTGAAAATTAATGATGAAGCTCTTCATATGTAGTTGTCTTACTTGACAATATATGAAATTTCCTTAGTGTGATCAAAAATATAACTTGACAGTAGTATTTGTTTACATTATCTGTATGAAAAAAAAAAACTTAAAAAAACTTCTACTACTAACCAAAGACTTAGCGCCTGTTCGATCGAACTGAAGTAAAGATATTTCAATTTTTAACGTAGTGTCATTTATAATCCATCCTGTATACTTCATAACCAACTGTGAACAAAATATCGAACTTGGAATAGTGTGTAAAATGCAAATCAAGATGAAAAGAAAACAAATAGGATAATGAATGTAGTTATTTATCTAAGAGAATTTTGACAATTAGTTGATAGATATTGATCGATTATAGAAAAAAAAATGTTTTAGTCAAAATTGAATTAATGAATATGATTGTATAATTATTATGTTCATTTTCCACTAAAAGATGGATGTCTGTGTTGAATTTTATGTAAGATGCCAGAAATATAAAGTTAAAGGAGAATTTGTTTTTCTTATTTTTTACATATGGTTAAATACAGTGTAATAAACTAATCAAGAATATATGTGTTGTCAATTCTTTTGGAATAACTGTTTAAGAGAAAAATTCCCATTTTTCTTCGATGATCTACTTTCTCTAAAAAAGAAGTCAATTATAAATAGCTGAGAAAATTTTGATTCTTTTTTGTTTCCTTCAAATTTCAAAAATTGTTTGTTTTAGATTCAACGTGTAAAACTAAATCTAGGAAAGTGATTGATCGATGAGTTTTCTAGATTCAGTTTGTCACACTGTATCTGAATCAAATAGTTTTAGAATTTGATGGAAACAAGAAAGAATTAAAAATTTCTCAGCTATCGACAATCGACCTCTTTCTTAAAGAAAGTAGGTCATCGAAGAAAAATGGAAAATTTTCTCCTCAGCACTTATTGCCAAAAAAGAATCAAAACACACATTCTTGATCCACTCATCACGCCCTATCTAACCATTTGTAAAAAAAACAGATTCTGCTTTAACGTTGTACTTCCGATATCTTGAAAACTCGATTCATAATACAAAGTGACAATACAATAATTAGGAAAATAATATTATTAATAATTGTTTCCATTGTGTAATAGAAAGTGTATTGATAACATTCATAAGTTTTTAGATGAGAAAATAAAAAAATATTATAAAGAGTTCTAATGAAGTCAAAACAAGCAAACAAATTTAAATTATTCTACATTGTAAAATGCTGAATTTTTTTTTCATATGAATTGCACTGACAATAACAATGACATTACAAATCCTATTTTTGGCAATCTTTTTACAATTCATATGCCTAAGTAACTATGAAAAGAATGTTTTAAATCGCTTTATGAACATACTAAATCACGATGTTTTATTTTATGAGTCAATTTATTTTAAAGCTATTATATATTTCTTTTTCTAATTTTATTTATTAATTCTTTCAATCCTTTTTGTATTTTCTAATTGACATGTTCTTTTGAGCTATTTTGAACAGAATCAAATTTATTTTCACTTCATTAACTAAATTGAATAATTCATGTTAAATTCTTTTTATATACAAAAACTTACAATAGAATTTATTTTTTTATTAGATAAAAAAACGACATCTTATCTTTATTTTATATCTTCTTTTACAATATCACAATGAAATATGTAAACGGTTATCGTCACCTCCAAATTCAACTTGAACTTTGTTGTTTAATCCATTTAATAATTTATGTTCATTAAACCATGACATAAAGGCTTGTTGATCAATACGCACATTTAATTCGTGAAGTGTCATATGAATATCTAATAGATGTTCAAGTTTTCGAAGACAATATATAAGAAATATGTAGATGTCTTGGGCATCTTTTAATTCAAAATAAAGATAGCGTATATTAGGTAGAAAAGTACCCATTTGACGAAGAATATCTGTTGATTTATATTTAACATTTGAATTAAAATCAATTGTTAAACTTGTAATACGAGTTAAAACTGTTGAAATACCAAATAAGGATGCATCTATTCGAAGACTTTGTACATTTGGTAATAGAT